ATAGGAGAAAGCAGTCAGCTACTTCATAAATTGTGAGGGGATCACCTAACCCAACACCAAAAACTACCTTGATATTCCTCTCCTTACACCCTGAAATCCACAATTCTGTTGGGTTACGACACCATGAAATGGGAGACATATTCTGCTGTAATGTCTTATTGGGCACAAACATCTTGAAGTGAATCAGTGAGATTTCCTCCAAAAGAGTTAGCTTGAAAGGAGGGTAAAGGTCTGGAGCCAGGGCACTCAGAAAGAGAGAGACTGTGAAGAAAATGTCTCAGGTACCTAAAGGGACTTAAGAATGCCTCAAGGGCTGAGCAGGATGAAGGCTACCCAACAGGCAAAAGTGATACTAACCCAAGAAAGCCCAGAGGCCTGAAGAAACAAACTCCAGTTGTACACTCTGGTCAAGTCACTGCTACTCTCCAGGCTGTTCTCTCATCTGCAAAATAAAGTGTGTACTCTTTGCTTTCCAGATGTACTGAGACAGCAGATAGGACAAGAAGCCTGTAAGCTTCCAAATGCTATGACAAGATACCTGAGAAAATCAGCTTAAAAGGAGGAAAAATTTACTTGAGCTCATGGTTTCTGAGGTTTCAGTTAGGCCTGTGGCCTGTGGTGAGACAGAACATCATGGTGGCCAATGCATGGTGGGCAAAGCTGCCAAACCCACTGTAGGCAGGAAACAGAGAAGCAGCAGGACCCAGGGTCCCAATGCACCCCTTAAGTGCATGCTCGCAAAGATCTACTTCTTCCAAGAGGTTCCTGCTTGCAAGGTTTCTAGTATCTCCCAACAGCAGCACCAGCTGGAGACCAAGACTTCCATCTACAAGTCTGTGGGGGATCTTACAGATCCAGCTGTAACAACACCACAGGTACGAAGCCAGCACGTCCTACCACAATGATGGATAGCTTGAGTAAGTGGACTCTAAGCTAAAGCTCTTCCAGGAAAGCTGCCGCAGAAAGATGCAGCTGAGACCTCATAGGGAAACAGAGGCCCGACAGATTCCAGGTAATCTCACACTTAAGAGCATCTCACTGAAATTTCTGGAACTGAGAAAGCAACACTCTACAAAAACAACAGTGGTTGTCACAAATCCACATGACATGGGACTCCCTAGCCAAGAGCCAGCTCAAGGAGAAAATCTGAAATACAACTTGGCTTAAAGGAAAAAAAAAAAAAAAAAAAAAAAAAAAAAAATTTTATTTATTTATTTATTTTTTTTTTGCGGAACTGGGGATTGAACTCAGGCCCTTGCGCCTGCCAGGGAAGCACTTATTCCACTGAGCCACCTCCCCAGCCCCCAAAAAGCCAAAATTTAAAAGGAATTCTTGGTCCCGCTGCAGAGGTCTCCGGCCGTCCACTGCTATGCTAGTTGATCCACCCCCCACCCCTACCCCAGGTTCTAACCAGCCTTCTGTGACCTCAGCCCCCCCCCCCCCGCACTGGTTCTATCTGCCACTTTGTGATTTCATCAGTGGCTACTGAGGGTCAGAGCCCCCAGGAGCACAGCTCTGCAGAAGCAGCTGGGGTGTTCTAGGACACAGTTTCTCTGCAGAGCATCTTTAGACCAAGCGCCTCTCCATGTCCCCAGGCTCCACATGATGGACATTTGCATCTCAGTTTCCATTGCCTCTGAGCCGCTTCAGCAATTGCCGTGAAGCGTGCCCTTGCCTGCCGCTGACCTACAGCAGCCCTTGCCGGAGCTGGCCAGCTCTCTGTCCCAGATCATGGGCAGCACAACCCCTCCTGACCTGGAGCTGCCCCAGCGGCTGGGCCCCCGACCCAAGAAGACCCCCAAGAGCCCCAGAGAAGAACAGCTGCACCTGCTGAGCAGCCTAGCCCCTGTACAGACCCTGGCCAGGATCATCCAGCCTTGCTATGGCCCCCACCAGCGGCAAAAGTTCCTGGTGACTGCTCAAGGGGACATCGTGTGTACAGGCTCAGCCGCCGCCATCCTCCGGGCACTGCAGCTGGAGCACCCTGCAGCCCGGCTTGTCCGGGAAGCAGCCCAGGCCCAGGCCGAGAGCATCGGGGATGGCGCTGCCTTTGTGGTCCTGCTGGCAGAAGCACTGCTGGAGCAGGCTGAGCTCCTGCTCAGAGCGGGCCTGGCCCGCACCCAGCTCCGGGAGGCCTACAGCACAGCCCTGGCAGAAGTCCTGGCCACGCTGCCTTCCTTGGCCATCCGGGCCCTGGGGCCTTTGGAGGACCCCTCCTGGGCCCTCTGCTCTGTAATGAACACGCACAGCCTGGCCCACTCAGACTACCTAGCCAAGCTGGTAGCCAGCGCGTGCTGGACCAGCAAAGAGCCTGGTGGCAGCTTTAAGCCCGAGCGCATTGGGGTATGCGCCCTGCACGGGGGCACGCTGTGGGACTCCTGCCTCCTCCCAGGACTCGTCACAGCTATGAGGCCCTGTGGCCAAGTGACCGCGGTGCTATCAGGGGCCAGGGTGGCCCTATTCTTGTGCCCCTTTGGTCCTGCCAGGCCCAGTGCCCCTGCAACTGCCTGTCTCTGCAGTCTTGAGGACTTCCTTATGTCCAAGAGAGAAAGCAGTGGACTCATAGAAAAGCAGGTGGGCCAGCTGGCAGATGCGGACATCAGTGTAGCTGTGGTGTGGGGAGACGTAGACGCGGAGGCCCTTGCACTGGCTGACCAGCGGGGCATCATGGTGATTCGGGCTGAATCTCGGCGGGAAATCGTGTACCTCAGTGAGGTGCTCAGCACCCCGCTCCTGACAAGTCTGCTGCCTCCACTGAAGCCGGGGCGGTGCCAGGGGGTTCACTTGCTGAAGCTGGGGGACCGCGAGGCCATGGTGTTTGAGTGGGAGCATGCAGGCGCCCCTGTCCTCACCGTGGTCCTCCGGGGAGCCACGGCTGAGGTGCTGCGGGGCGCAGAGGAGGCCGTCTACCAGGGCATCGACACCTATGCCCAGCTCTGTGAGGACCCCAGGCTGCTGCCAGGAGCCGGCTCCACGGAGATGGCTCTGGCCAGGGTGCTCTCAGAGAAGGGGGGCAAGCTGGCTGGGCCCGAGGGGCCCGCTTTCCTGGCTTTCGCCCGAGCACTGAGGTCTCTCCCTAAAGCCTTGGCAGAGAACGCAGGCTTGGCTGTGCCACACATGATGGCAGAAATGAGTGGCACCCACGAAGCAGGGAACTTCCTGGTGGGAGTGGGAAGTGAAGGGATACTAAATGTCGACCAGGAAGGGGTGTGGGACCCCCTCACAGCCAAAGCCCAAGGCCTCCGAGCAGCGGTGGAGGTGGTGCTGACGCTCCTCACCGTGGATGAGTTTGTCCTGGCCAAGGCAAACCCACGCCCCCAGCAGACCTCAAACCCAGACTTTGTGAAGCCAACAGGAAGCCTGCCTCCACGCAAGAAAGAATGCCTTAGGGTAGACAGACCTCAACATCCACAATAAACCAGACTGCCAAGGAGGGCACCTCCCCTCCCCACCCCAGAAAGACACGCTCACCTCATTTACTCATTCACCTTGGGCGCTTGTACTATTTTGATTGTTTCTGAGATAGAATCTCCAAGTTCAGGCTGGCCTTGAACTCACTATACAGTCTAGGTTGGCTTCGAACTTGCCGTGATCCTCCTTCCTCAGCTTGCTGAGTGCTGGGATTACAGATGGGTACCATCATACCCAGCCCTCAGCCCTTTAATTATAGTGTTTCATTCTGGGACAGGGTCTCAATAAGCCACTAAATTCCCCGGGCTCTACTGGAATCCTCCTGTCTCGGCCTCCTGAGTGCTGGCATTGCAGGCATGCGCTACCATGCCCAAGTTTCATATCCCCTTCCACATCATCTTTAAGTGGTCTCTCTTCCTGCCAAACAGATGACTCACACATCAAGGTTTTTCCCCTTCTATTAACTATGGAGAAGTTAACCAGAACTTAACCTCTTCCGGACACCATCCAGGTCTGTTTTTGAGGTTTAGGATTGAGGCTTCCCTTCAAGTAGGCAAGGTTTCAATTCTCCAAAATCTTTGACCTTAGACTTGGCTGCGTATTCTCCAAAATGAACTCCTTACTTCCAGGACAGCCAAGAGTTCCAGAAATGACAAGCCATCTGGTCATGGTAGCACATACCTTTCAGGAGGCCGAGGCAGAAACATATACCTCATCCTGAACACCATAGCCAGACCCTGTCTTTTTTTTTTTTTTCTTTTTTTTGCAGAACTGGGGATTGAACTCAGACCCTTGTGCTTGCCAGGGAAGCGCTTATTCTACTGAGCCATCTCTCTGACCCCAGACCCTGTCTTAAAAAAATAACTAAATATCAACAACAACAAAAGTTCTTGGGCTGGGGTATATAGCACTTCCCTCCCATGAATGAGGTCCGGAGTTCCATCCCCAGCACCACACACAGACACACAGACACACAGATACACACACACACATACACAATTGAACATAAGTATCAGCCATGGGCTGGGGAGATAGCTAAGTGGCATAAGCACCTCCCTGCCAAGCACAAGGTCCTGAGTTAGATCCCCCAGTACCAAAAGAAAAAAAATGACAATGTCTCCTGGGTGTGGCAGCACACATCTGTAATCCCAGCACTTAGGAGATTGAGGTAGGAGGATGGTTGCAAGTTCTAGACCAGCCTGGGCTACAAAGTGAGCTCCAGACCATCCTGAACTGCGTATCAAATCTTGTCTCAAAAAGACAAATAGAAAAGAAATGAAATGTCTCAGCTGGGCTAGTCTGAACTATACAACCAGACCCTATCTCAAAAAAAAAAAAAAAAAAAAAAGGCTCTATAGCCATTTCCTCCAACTCACCAGATGCAATCAGAACAGCATGGTGTATCCCAGTAAATGTGGGAAGATTTCCATATAATAAAAATTCTACTTATGCTGGGTTCAAACTTGCCATTGGTCTCAGCCTCCACTGTGCTGGGCTTACACGTGTGTGCCACCACGCCTCGCTTGGAAACCTCCTTCTGATTAAATTGTGTCTGTTGTTTAGACAGCATATTGCTACATAGTCTAGACAATGGCCTTGAACTCCCTCAGCCCCCTAAATGGCGGGATTCCAGGCATCTGCCACCACAGCTAAGCAATTGTTTGGTTTTTTTCCTTTTTGGGGGGGGGGGGTTGAACTCAGGCCCTTGCGCTTGCCAGGGAAGCGCTTATTCCACAGAGCCATCTCCTCGGTCCCCAATTGTTTGTTTGAGGCAGGATCTTACATGTAGTTCAGGGTATTCTTGAATTCACTGGGACTTTACCTTTTGCTTTCTTTTGTTATTGAGAATCCAACTCAGGACCTCATGCTTACCAGGCAGGCTTCGTCCCACCAAGTTGTATCTCCAGCCTTCATATTAATCTCTTAAATTTCCAGTCAGCCTGGCAAAGGTCATAACTCCTAAGAACTCTTCCATGCTAAAACTTGGTAAGGCCACAGTGAGAACTAGCAGCACCTGTCTAGGCAAGTGCAAGGAGCTGGGTTCAATCCCCAATACCACATGCTGTGCTGGCCACACTGTGCCATCCACCAAGACTGGGCGTGGTGGTGCACACCTGTAGTCCCTGAGCTAGGGCTAAAACAGGAGGATCACTCTGAGTCAGAGCTGCTTAGTGAGATCCTGTACCAAATACATCAAATAAAACTAAAACTTCACAAATTGAAGCGAGGTGTGATGGCACACAATGGTAATCTCAGCATTCAGGAGGCTGAGGTAGGGGATCACTGTGAGTTTGAAAGTCACCTGGACTACATAGTGAGTGAGTTCAAGGCCAGCCAACACTGCACAAATTCCAGGGTGTTCAGTTTTGTTTTGTTTTGCGGAACCAGGGATTGAACTCAGTTGCGCTTGCCAGGGAAGCACTTATTCCACTGAGCCATCTCCCCAGCCCTATTCTTCTCCTTTTTTTTTTTTTTTTTTTTTTTTTGTAGTACCAGGGATTGAACTCAGGACCTTGCATTTGCCAGGCAAGTGCTTATGCCACTGAGCTATCTCCCTGGCCTGCACAAATTCCATAATTTGTCCAAAGTCACAAGGCCAACAGTTAGTGACAGAGGAACAGGAGCCTAATCCTAGGTACTCCAGACGCATCCCTTACTTTGCTGCTGTAAATCTGTACTTTAGTGTAACAAGCCAGCTGTGCATCTCAGCATCCTTCTCTATGGCATACAGGAAGCAACCTGTGTGCCCACTTGGTATGATGAGTGGCAAGGTGTGGACACATCTGCAAAACTGGCAGGAAAGGCTTCTGACCTACACCACGCACTGTGCAACTTTGTCTTGCACCTCAGATGGTCCAACAGGTAGATGCCACTCCAGGATTTGTGTTTTAAAAGCCCAGTTCAGTATATTGGCACGTGAAAAACCAGATTTGCAAGTTCTGGAGGAGGTCAAAAGTGACTCATCAAATTACTCTTCCATGAATGAGCAGGATCATCTACAATAAAATACATGTTCTCATAACAGAAGAGTGGTGTGGGCGGGGGAGGATGACCATGATGGTGGTGGCCTTGACCTTGGCCACGTGACCCAAAGGTCCTGTGACAGTAAAGAACAAGAATAGACTGATACAGACACAGGGAGTGCAGACCTCCTCAATTCAGATAAGGAAAAAACAGCAATGTGAGCACATTTCACTAGTAATAACGTTGCTAAATGGCCACATAGCCAAATGGAATGATCCAATGTCAGGACTAAGAAAATGCAGTGAGGATCTAGGCAAAGGTGAAAGACATTGGAGAGAACTCCAGCAGTTCCATTCAGTGTTGAATACTGGAACAGATGGAACGCTACGTGATGTGCAAAATACTCAAAGGCAGAAATGCAAGTAAAACACGCTATGTGGACCAACAGCCACATTCAAATGTGTATTCGGTATACCACCTTGTCACCAGCTGAACTGAAAGCATTCACAGGTCTGTTGCACCGAGCAGGGAATTTTCACTGTGATTGCAGGAATGTAAAAGTCTTATGGAGGGGGGGCTGGTGAGATGGCTCAGTGGTCTAAAGCACCTACTTAGAACAAGCTTAGCAAAACGCAGGGACCGCGGTTCAATCCCCCAGCACCACATG